TTCTCATCTAGAACTTTATTTAGTAAATCTTAACCACACCGACAAAAAGAGTACTAAAACAAAATCGTAAGTTATTTTCCTTTGTTAGTGTTGGACTTTAAGGTAAATTATATATTCCAAGGGTTTTCTCTTTCCTCTTTCCTTTGAAAACCTATATTACTATTAGAACTCTGATGATTTTACTTTTTATTACCTTAAAATGATATCACCAAGCCCCCTCCCAAAAAAACTGTGCCCACTGTTTTTAACATCTTAATACAGGAATAGGTGATTTAACTAATGTTTCCCACTTAACTCCCTTCAAAGGAACAGAGTAAGATGACACATTTTTCAGGTATGGAAAATAGCTGGAAAGAAGTTAGAAACTTAAAAGTTATCTTTTATGAGAAAATATCAAGTAACTAGCTCACCAAAAAAAAAGTATAAAAAGTATGTATCGTACATAATATATCCACAGAAAATTAAAGAAACTGAAGACATTACTTCAGGAGTTATCAGCACCTTAAAGATCTATTAAAAGAGGGACATTAGTTCTAATCAGGGCATTTCTACAAACATGTATAACTTCGGTTAAGTCATTTAACCTTTCCATGTTGACCTCTTCATCTTTAGCTAAGGGTCTTGGACTAGATAATGTGTAGGGTCTATTCCATATCCTATGATTCTCATTTAGTCACTTAACGACTTTCATCCATTCCTTCCTTTTAATAGCCACTGTTATATTGGAACTACTGCAACTACTCCCTCACTCAGCCTGCTTCCTACTTTCTGCCCTTCAACCCCTCCAAGACAACTCAATCAGTTCCATTATTAAATCACTACTTTATGCCTCTCACTTAATGTCCAGTTTTAAAAGCTGTCATATTTCCCATTGCCTGAAGTAAAAGTCCAGTTTCTGAGTTCAAAGTTCTCCAAAACATGGCCCTGACTTCCTTAATACTTTGGTTCCCCACCCAGCCCCAGTCTATCAAGCTCATTCTGCCCCTCTTCTTTGTTAAAATCCTTTTCATGCTACAAGACCCAGTTCAACTCCTAGCCTAAAACAAAGTCTTCTTTGATAATGTTTATGGTCTGTAGTACTGATTTGATGTACTGTCTTCATTAGTTATCTTTTTACAATGGATTATGTCTTATCTTCCTAACTAGATACATCCAGCACCTTGAGGAAATGGGATTATGTTTTGTACTTCTTTGGATTCTCTATAGGGCCCAACATAGGACTGAAAGAGAGGGAGTTGAGGTTGGAAGGAAGGGGCCTAGAATTAAGAACAAACTATTAATAGATTATCATTTGCACACCAGACTGAAGGTTAATTTTTAATAACCAATACCTATTTACTTACATAGTACCTACTCTGGGTATTTATCAATGTAGTTCTAATAAATGTTCTATATTTATACACAAAAATATAAAGAAAATAAAATTCGCTCCTTTTTCACCAAACCTATGGCTCACTTAATCCTTCAAAAGCCCAAGGCAATTTTTTTGTCAATACTACTCCAATACAAGAATTATCGGGAGGAGGGGATGGGTAAATTCACACCTAACGGGTACAATGCACACTATCTGGGTGATGGACTCACTGATAACTTTGACTCAGCTGGACAAAAGTAATTCATGTAACTCAAACATTTGTACCCCTGTAATATTCTGAAATAGAAAAAATTAAAATTAAAAAAAGAATTATCACCATAATTCTTATTACTTGATTTATCAACTTTAAGCTTTATCTGTTAAATCCCAACATTTAGATGAGGTCATGCAATCGCTACAAGAAACTACTTTGTTCTTGAAGGCATTCTTTATGACACTACGTGATGTCTCATTTGGATCAACTATTTTCTAGGCCTGCTGCATCCTGTGAATTTTTGCATTGTTTTCCTCTTTGCACTGGTATGACAGTTTTACTCTTAGATCCTGTGATTGCCCTTTCCGTGGATTCCTTTTTTATTTTGTTAAAGCATATTCTCCAGTAACTTCATTTCAAAAAGACAGTCAAGAGATAAACCTTCTGAGTCCTTGCATGTCTGAAAATTATTTTATTTTGCCCTCGGGTTTCACGGTGTAGGTCAGATAAAGGATTTTAGGTTATTAAACATCCATATTTCTAATGAGAACTGCAATGCTGATCTGCATCTTATTCCCCTGTAAATAACTTATTTTTTCTCTCTGGAAGCTTTTACAATTTTCTAACTATCTTTAGAATTCTGAATTTTCACCAAGCTTTTGTTAGCGTTAGAAAATTTTGGGGGGTGATTTTTTTATCATACTCTTCTCCATTTTCTTTGGTCTTTCTTGTGGGAATAAATAGACAGACATTGAACTGAGGTGCCCCAAAATAACAAAGTAACGAGCAACATAACCTAACAGTA